GGCCCCGCCATCAGGGAAAGGACTTGCGCGTGGGCACAGCCAGCCAGAGGCAAAGCTGGGACTAGTTTCCAGGTTTCTCAGACGTTCCCCTACTGCCAGGACTGCTCTCTGGCCCCGTTCTGTGTGGGGAACGGAGGTGCATTTGCAGTGACGCTGAGGTGCTACTCCTGGCTCTGAGCCTGGAGGGGGGGTGCTCCACACAGTGCTCAGGGGACCATGCAGTGCTAGGGAGCAAACCGAGGCCTCTTGCGTGCTAAGCAAGTGTTCCAGCCCGCAGCACTGGCCCCACGCAGCAAGGTTTTCCTGTCCGTCCTGCTTCGTTTTTTCCCAGCTTCACTGAAATCACATCCCCATGGCATTTTGTGACCTTGACATGGAAGTTTCTATCGCCCAGATGCTGCCGGGAACAAACGCTTAAGCCAGGCAGACACACTCAAGAGTCTTGTTCATTGCATGTTCCCATTTTTTATTAAGTCAAGTAAAGTGATGGTTCACATTCTGTCCCACAAAGCAGACCCTGGCCCGTGGCCCCAAACTCCCACGCGTGCCCAGGACACGGTGGATCTTGACCATGGTGGACTTTGGGGACTTGGACGCAAGGGAGGTTGACAGCAACGCGGCCGAGCATGAACTACAAGCTACACATACACACGCGTGGGCACATATGTACACGTCGTGACTCAGGAGGCCACGGGTCTGGACCGCGGGGAGCAGGGTTTGTGGGGTCCCAGTGGGGGCAGGACAGCCAGGCACCCATGGCCCAGAACGCGCAGATGAGATGGAGACAGTAGGGGCAGCTCACACCCGAGACCAGGGGGGGCAGGATCCGTGGGTTGCTGGGTTTCCCAGACAGAGTACCCGGTCTGTAGTCCGCTTTAGGCCCGTGAGGATGGAACCTGCATCCCTGACACAATCATTCACTCAGAGGCAAGGGATGACAATTGACACGAAGGAAATGCTCGACACCTGAACCTGCACATTTCTTTGAGGTAAAATGCCGCCACCCTCCTCGGCATGGTGGGCGGTGAGGGCAGGTCTCCGCATTGCCCCACACCCTTGGGACTTCTCCAGGGAACCCACACCCAGGGACTCCGCATTTCACAGAGGCCTCTCTGCTCGGCCGGCACAGACTGATGGGACCCTCTTGGTTCCTGGATTCTTGCACCCCCGGGACGCCACCCTGATGCCCTGTCTTCCCTGTCCCCCTGTGTGGACGGAATCGGCACCACCGTGTGGTGCAGGACTTCTGCCTCTGCCCTGGGCCTTCCCAACCAGGTCGTGGAGTCTGTGCCGCCAGCCCCCCTGGGGAGAGGCACATCCACCAACCCTGCTGTGGGCCAGCTCAGCACCCAGCGTCCGGGCCTGGACCCCCTGACCTGCTGTGCTGGTGGCCAAGGGCAGGAGGGAAAGAGTACACTCTTGCAGGCTCTGGGGCGGCCAGCCCAAAGCTGCCCCATTAGAGCAGGCCCCGGGCAGATGCTCCCGGGCCAGGGCACAGGAAGTGACCTCTTCGTGACTGCTTTGGGAGGGAGGGTGGCACCCAGGCCTCCCCCCCACCCCCATCCCTGATTAACCGGCGGCTTCAGCACTGGGGCGCAAGGGTGAAGAGCTGCCCAGCGTTAGGATGCAGGGACCTCCAGGGCGATGCTGGCGGCCTCCAGCGATGCTCAGGGGCAACGTGGCTGCGATCACACCAGGGCCAGCTCATGCAAGGCAGGGGCTTGGTCAGTCTCCCCAGCCCTGTGAGAACCGGCCCCCATCTACTGATTTTCAAGTACGTACAAGGCAGAAAGGACCCAAGGCTAGAATTGGCTCACGTCCCTCCACCTTGGCAAACCTGGGATAACCATCGGCTAGAGCAGCACGCCAAGGTGGACAAACCAGGCCAGAGAAGCCAGGAAGGGGACACAGTGCCCTGGACGCTGCCGTATCTCACCCAGCCTGGAATCTTGATGGCTACCTCTAAGGTCTGGGCTAATGGCATCTTGCTGGAGAAAGAGGCACACATGCCCAGGAAGAGTGGCCTCCCTGGGTCAACAGGTAGAGAGGGCAGAGACGCCCAGGTAGGCCTCCTGGGACAGGAGACACCAGCCCAGCCCTCGGCACTTCCCCTGCTGACACAACCAGAGACTCCAGCCAGGTCCCACGGGGCACCCCCGCCCCCTCCCCACAAGCCCCAAGGGGCTCCACCAAACTGCTGAGTGCCCGGTCACACAGCTGCATCCTGTGTCAGCACCAAGGCGAGGATGCGGCAGAAAGGCTCATTGGCTGTGGCTTCAGGTCAGCCGCCAAGCCAGGGCCCCCGCTTCACCCCCAGATGCCCAGGGCCACCCCCCGCGTCTGAGCCCTGGATTTGAGAACCCCTCCGGCATGTGAATTGTCTCGAGGGTCGGGTGTAGAGCATGTGAATGGCTTCCACGAATACTATTTTCCTTATTGGGTTCAGTAGAGTCGTGGAGTCCTTACAAATTATAAGGCACTTTCTTCTTTTTCACAAAATAAATAAATTAAGCGCACTTTTTTGCAATGTACAGATTAATATTGTCCTGAGAAGTCCCAAAGGTCCATTCTTGGTTGTCAAAGGTCCATTCTTGGCTGTGTCCTCAGAGCAGAGGACAGTGTCCTTGGCCCGGGAGGCATGCAGGAAAAATCAGTGCTCCACACGGGGGGGGGGGGAGGGGGGGCAGCTGAGCCCGGAATGGGGTGCTCAGTCCCCACATCCTGCGAGCATCAGGTGGGGGCTAGAGAGGGAACACTCTGAGGCCTGCCAGAAAGACCTAGGCCCCACTCTGCTGGGTTTCAGAGCTGCAGACCCTCGGGAACAGCCCCCAAATCAGAGCCAGCTCTTTGAACAGCTGATGTCCCTGTAAATGCCCCCCCCAACCTCTCCATGCTCCGACCAGAAGGTCCCCCAGATGGCAGCCAGCCTCACTTGTACCAGGCCTCTGACCAGGCCATGTTCCCAACAGTCTCGGACCCTGTATTTCCTTGGTACTCACAATACTCAAGCCCAAACTCAGCCCTTTCTGTAGGCTAAGGAGGCAGATGGTTCCAGAGGCTGTTCAGGACACCAGTATCCGCCTGTACTGAGGGGGCTAGTCTTTTGTTTTGTTTTGTTTTTGCATTTTGGGTCACACCCAGTGATGCTCAGAGCTTACTCCTGGCTCAGCACTCAGGAATTACTCCTAGCGGTGCTCGGGAGACCATATGGGATGCTGGGGATCGAACCCAGGTGGGCCGCGTGCAAGGCAAATGCCCTTCCCGCTGTACTATCGCCCCGAGGCTAGTCTTGAGGTGATGCTGAATCCTGCTGGTGGGTTGGGGAGTGGGGAGGCGGAAAGGCATACTGCTTGGGGGACATCTGCTGCTTGGACACAGATTCTAAATGTCCCCCTCTCAGCCCCACCCTGGAAGTGTGTTAGGGCCGAGGAGAAAGGCTCAAAGCTGGCCTCAGGGAAGAGGAGGAGCCACTGATTTAAGTCATGTCTGGACAGGGCAAAGGACGCTGGTGATTTCTGAGGTTTCTCCCTCACAAGGGGGTCAAACAGAAGAGCCTGTGGGTGCTGGGCGGTGTGGGGTGGGGGGGGCTTGTCCTGAAGCCAGTGTGCGTCTCATCCTTCTAGGGAAGGCGCCCTGGGGTATCCCCACTCTGGCGGGACCAGCGAGCTCTCTGTGATTCCCTTCAGATTCAGATTGCTTCCCGGTGGCAGAAACAAAACCAAAACTGTAACCATAAAACAAGACACCAAGGCATAAATAAATAAAACAAAGCACCCAGGTCAGGCCCGGGGCAGAGAGGCGGTCCAAATACCACCACAGTCACGGCAGCCGGCCCAGGCTGACCTCGGGACCCACGTCCCCACAAGATGTCTTCCCCGAGAACACAAGCTACTTTCTCCTGGGCCCGGCCCCAGAGGGGCCCAGGTTGGACACCGCAGGACTCAGGCTGCCTCTGCCTCCAGGGTCCACAACTGTGTCTGCCACTCTGACCCTGGTGCTGTGAGCCGTGGCCCGGTGCCCTCGAACCGCTGAACAAGTGGTTGGTGAGCGCGGGGCAGCCGTGCCATTTCAAAACATCCTGTCTGCTGTCAGCGGCCGCGAGGGAATGAGGACATGGTGGGGGCCGGGGAGGAGCCCCCGAATTCCAGAGGGGAGAGGGAGCAGGCCTGCAGCTCCAGCCCAAGCCCGGCAGGACCGCGATTCCTCCCCACCCGTCCAGATCATTCTAGAGACAGGACTAGAGGCTCCTTTCCTCTTGGTGTGAGACGCCCATCAGCCTGCCGGGCTCAGAGCCGGCCCACATGTGCTATATGCCAAGCGTGCTGGAATCTGTCTCCATACATAGACGTGTGCGTTCTGCGGCCCTGCTCGGGGCCGGCTGCGTCCGTCAGCAGAACGGCGAGCCCGTTTCATTCAAATACTGAACCGTGTCGGGAAGGCAAGCAGTCACGGGCCCCAGAGAAGCCCCCTTCCGCGGGGCGACCCCCACTCCAGACTGGACCGTAGGGAGCTCCAGAAATGGAAGGGTTAACCTGCAGTCCAGTCCAGCAGCGTCAGCTCTGACTGGCGCGTACCCATGACAGCTGGGTGGAAAATATCTGGATGCTGGCCCACAGGGTCTACAGTGAGAGAGACGGGGAGAGAGAGAGAGAGAGGTGGGGGGGAGAGAGCATGAGAGAGAACACATGGGAGAGAGTGAGAGCGAGCGGGAGACAGAGAGAGGGCGAGACAGAGAGAGATCATGAGAGAGCGCTTCTCTGTGGGTCGGTAAGGCCTGCCCGGGCCTGGTCGGGAGGCTGTGTCCCCTGGGCTCTGGGTCTCACGGTCCTCAGAAGAACCGAACACTGTCCCGTCCTCGGCGACGCCGGCCGGGGTGCAGCCCCCAGCTGACCGGGGCGGGGGAGAGGGGCCGCGGCTCCCCTCCGCACCCCGCAAGCAGCCTGGTCTCCCTGCTGGGTGGCTGGGTGGGGCTTTCAGGAGGGACGCGCCTGGCCCCCCGGCCCCTACGTGACCCAGAAGGTACCGCGCTCCTCCAGGAGGCTGAGCGAGCGGTTGGTGAGCGCGGCGGCGTCCGGGGCCAGCTTGTAGCCGAAGAGGCGCATGGCAGGGCCGCAGGCGGCCTGCACCACCTGCGCCAGCTTGAAGGGCATGCCGAAGCGCCACTTCTCGAACTGCTCCGACGAGTTCTTCTGCGTGGAGTAGATGCCGGTGCCGGCCTGGGCGGCCTGCGTGTTCCTCCGGATCCAGTCCTCCACCTGCGGCGTCAGCGGGATGCCCGCAAAGCGGTACATCTCCCGTGCTTTCTGCAGGGGCCGGCGGGCCACGTCCTCGTAGCGCACCAGCATGTAGCGGCCCCGCAGCCAGGCCGGCTGCCGCAGGCCCAGCTCGGCCGACAGGCGGAGGCTCTCGCAGTTGCCACGCAGGCGCTGCACCTCCTCCGCCCCGAGCTGGTCCTGGCCCTCCGCCAGCCACTTCTTCCAGCCCTCGTACTTGCCGGCGAAGGCCACCATGCGGGAGGCCAGCACGGCCCGGGGGTCCCGCACCAGCTGGATGACGCGCAGGTCCAGCCGGGGGTCCTCGGCCAGCGGCTGCAGGAACTCCAGCTGCCGGATGCGCACGGCCTTGAGGGCCATGTGCTCCTTGCGACGGCAGGCCTCGGCGGCCAGCGTGACGTTGAGGGGCCCGCAGCGGCGGTTCTTGCAGTGGTACTTCTCGAACACCTTCTTGACGAAGGGCGTGCACACGGGCTCCTCGCACAGCGAGCGGCTGGAGCCGCGGCGGAACATGAACTGGGTCAGGTGGTCCTCGGGCAGGGGGCTGATGAAGTGCTCCAGCACGTACAGGTCGCACAGGAAGAGCTGCTGGAGCACGTCGCGGTAGACCAGGGCCGAGCCGGCCGCGCTGGCGCCGCCCGCCTCGAAGGCCACCGTGCGCTCGATGTGCCACAGGGGCTCGAAGAGGTAGAAGATGTTGGCCTGCTGGTTGAAGAACTCGCCCACGAAGGAGGAGCCCGTGCGGGTGGTGGCCATGAGCAGCACGTGGCGGCGGCCGCCCGGCGCCTCCCGCTCCCCGTCCTCCGCCTGGTCCTCCCCCTCGGCCCGGCCCGCGCCCTCCGCTCCCAGCTGCAGGCTGAAGTTCCGCAGGCGGCTCTGCAGCTGGGTGAAGGCCGAGCTGAGCTCGCTCAGGGACAAGAGGGAGGCGTTCTCGGCCAGGCCCAGCGCCGGGTCCGTGCTGTTGCTGTCCACCGCGGGCTGGGGGATCTGCATCAGTTTGCCCGAGACCCTGTGCACAAGGACAAAGGGAAACGGGGCTCAGCGGTCAGGGTCGGGAGGCTCCGTCCCCCTGTCCCAGAGTCTCCAAGCAGGCCCCCGCCCGAAGCCTGATTCCTGCGGAAACCACCTTCGCAGCACAGAGCTGAGATCAGTCACGGACACGGCGTGGTGACGGCCCCGGGAAGGATGAGTGGGGGGCCGGAGGTGAGGCGAAGAAGGTGCCAGGGCCGGAGAGACAGGACGGCGGGGAAGGCAGCTGCCTTGACGCAGCTGGCCGGGTCCCACCCCAGGGGCGAGCCCCAAGCACGGGGCTGGGGTGAGCCCTGAGCAGTCTTCAGAAAAGGAAAGTTGTAAGAAGGGTGAGCAGGAGCAGAAGCCCCCGTGGGCACATGAGGATCTGGGAATCTGGCCACCTGATGCCCTACCCATCTCCTGCTTTTGGTGTGTGTGTGTGTGCGTGTGTGTGTGTGTGCTGGATGGGGGGTGTACATTATTCAGCGATGCTCAGAAGTTACCCAGAGGGGGCTGGAACAATAGCACAGCCGGTAGGGCGTTTGCCTTGCATGCAGCCAACATGGTCGACCCAGGTTCGATTCCCAGCATCCCATATGGTCCTTCGAGCACTGCCAGGAGCAATTCCTGAGTGCATGAGCCAGGAGTAACCCCTGAGCATCGCCAGGTGTGACCCAAAAAGGAAAAAAAAAGAAGTTACCCCTGAGGAGTCACTCCTGAAGAGCTCAGGGGACCCTTGCATCCAAGTTGGCGGTGTGCAAGGCGAGCGCCCTCCCCGCTGTGCTGTCTCTCTAGCCTGCACCCCCCCCTTGTGCTCCTTGACTGGCTCTGAGTCTAGCTCTGTGCCCGTGGGGCCTGTCAGGGCAATACACACTACAGGGCGGCTCTCTCTGGAGGGCAGTGCTCCCCGTCGGCCTGCGTGAGCACCCTGCCCTGGAGCGGGGTTAGATCCAACCTGGCTTAATTGTCCTGGGCAGACCTGTCCTAGCACCCAGCAGGGCCCGGCCTTTCCTCAGCCACTGCTGTGACATCAGACGCCGAGGGTCTTGCTGGTAACACAGAGCACCTGCCCTGGCCAGGAAACAAAGGACGGCAAGCACTCCTGCAGGTTCTGGGCACCAGCCACGTGCCAGAAAACCTCTCACATTTCCTCACTCTGCGTGTGTGTGCATGCGTGAGGCATGTGTGCGTGCGTGTGCGTGTGTGTGTATGTATTCTGGGGGGTGGCCACACCCAGCGGTGCTCAGAACTCACTTCCGGTGGGGCACAGGGATGCTGGGGATCAAAACCAGGGTCAGCTAGTGCAAGGCCAGTGTCCAGCCCTCCGGACTGTCTCTCTGGCCCTCACTTTACAGCACAGAGCTCTGCACAGGAGGCTCAGGTCACAGGAAAGGGAAGCACAAGTCTACATGGTCACTGTAGAGAGTGCCGAGTCCAGATGCCAAGCCAATCACCACTGTGGGACAGCCAGAGTCTGCGGGTGACCCATGCACCTGGGAACACCCCACTTACCTGGAGATGATCTTATTTTCCTTCTCAATGAAGACAAAAACCAACACCACGAACGCCAGGAAGAAGGCGTATTTGCTCCTCATCCTCAGGCTGTGCAGCGTGTCCCGGCGCTCCGGGGACAATGCGAGTCCTTTCTCCATGGGGCAGGCAGCCGGGGGACGTGGCAGGAAGCGTCACTCAGGGGCAGGCTCCAGGACACCAGGTGGGGGACAATGCATCCTGTGGAGACACACGGGGGTTGAGCGCATCTTTGCGGGCAGGAAGTCTGGGTTCCAGCCCCAATGCCACAGGGGCCCCTGAGCACCGCTGGGTGCAACCAGGAGAGGCCCAGAGTGGCCCCCAAAACAAATTAACTCCTGGGGGGGGGAAGCAACGCACAACCCTGGGAGCATTTGAATTCTAGCCAAATCCTTAATGTGACCTCAGCCTCCCTGGGCATCACCATCCCCACCTGAGGCCTGGTCCTAGCCCTGGTGATTGCAGAGGCCCAATACCACAACCAAGTGTGTGTGTGTGACCCCGGGTCACCGCCACAGCACGGGAGGGGGGAAACAGGGCCATCAGAGCCCAGAGCAGGGAGTACACTCCTCCGTGGCCGTCCACCACCATGGGCAGATCCTCGCCTCGTGCCCTCCCCACACCAGGGGCCCTAGATTCATGAGAAAGCTCCCCCAAAAGCCCATTCCTTTCTTGTGAGGATTTTCATCCCTGGGAGACCATTTGTCCCCCCTTGCAGGAAGCCCCACCCACGTCCCTGTGGAGGACTCAGTCCTAGTCCTTTTCTGGAAGGAACGGAACTTCCCAGGGGAGCAGGGCCGGAAATGGGGCCCAGGGCAGTGCTGGCGTCTTAGGACATGGCTCGGGGACAGCGGGGCTCTGTCCATGGGGAGCACGGAGCAGGGGTGGGGTGCGAGGGGGAAGCTTCGGGCCTCTTTGCCCTTCGGGGCCGATCTACAACACATTCTTGGTCGGATTTACAAGTTTGGGTTCCTCCCCTCCCTGACAAGCAGATTCTGTTTCTGAACTTCTGTCCAAGTCGCCCCTCGCCCCCACTTCAAGAATAATACCAGGGTCCTAAGAACCTTCCAGTACTGGCCTAAGGGGAAGGAGAGGGTGGAGTTCTCTGGGCCAAGAAGCCCAGGGCAGGGGCTCGAGCGACAGCACAGAGGTTAAGGCCTTGCCCTGCCCGCAGACGACCTGCGTTTCCAAGGCATAGGCTTGAGTGTAAGGGGCTTATTACCAGGACGGCTGCCCTGGGGCTGGCACAAGCATACAGCGGGGAAGGAGCTGGCCTGGCATGTGACCGGCCTGGGTTCGATTCCTGGCACCACTCTCCGAGTCCCACCAGGATTGATCCCTGAGAGCAACACTGGGAGTCAGCCCTGAGCACCGCAGTGGCTGTCCCGCGGCTGAGCCCTGCAGGCCCAGCAGGTGCGTGGTCAGTGAGGGGGCAGCAGGGGTCTGGGAGCGCTGAGGCCTCAGGCCCAGTCAGGGAATCAGGAGGCAGAAGGCGCCTGGCAAAGGCATCTGCAGGAAAGGTTCCAGAACACGGGCTTGGGCCCTCCCTGCCTCGCAGGCTAGTCAGGAAAGTAAAGTCCTGTGCCCTGCCAGGGGGTCCACAACACCCACCCTCCCCAGAACACTCAGCTGAAGAAGGGGGCATCCCTTTGCTGGGGTGCTGGGGGCACCCATATTCCCAGGTCGGTGGGGAAGAGAGCAGACGCTACATTACTGGGTCCATGCCAGTGGGCATGTATGTGCCGGTCCAGCTCTGCAGAGCGGGCACCGATGCCTTTGGCTCAGCCAGGCCCAGTGCTCGTCCTAGCTGTGCCCACTTCACATCACCTGATCATTAACTCACTGGCCCCTCCCCACCACCGTCCCCTCGGCCCTGGGTCCCTCTCCTTCCTGGGCAGAAGAGCACACGATGGATGCCTACTGCCGCTGCAGGGGAGCTTGGCAGCCCGGGACTGTGTGCCCAGAGCTCAGAGCGGGTACTTTCTAGGCACCTGGAGGTGGACGACGCTTCTTCAGAAGCACTTAGCCAGGGTCAGGGCTGAGTCATTCAGAGGGTGTGAAGCTGAGGAAGGAAACTCAGCATTCCTGAAGTGAATGCAGTGTGAGCGCTCTGGAAGGGCACGCTGAGAATGGCCTGGTCTTCACCTACATCCCACACAGGGATGTTCTGAGGACAGAGAAACTGCATCTGGGCCGGACGCAGCTCCACAGCAGAGCACTTGTCCTGCGTGTGCAGGGCCCTGGGTCCATCCCTGGCACGAGAAGAGAGGAGGGAGACGGGGAGGGAGGGAAACTAAGTCTGACGGTGGGAGAGCTTTGCACGCGAGCCACTCAGGGCTGAGATGGGGAAGGTGGCCAGAGCAATTGTGGGTGAGGGGCATGGGAAGGCAGACATAGGGGCCCACGGACCCCAGCAGCCGGTTTCCCTGCCCCTCAGGCCCCTGCATGGGCCTCAGTATAGCAGCTGTCTCCCAGACAGCTCCCAACCAGGCCCCAAAGGAGAGCAGCATGCCCGCCCCCCCCCTGGCAAAGTGTGTAATAGGGGCCTAATACGCATTGGGCCCAGCCAGACTTTGCAGTAGGAAGTCAAACCCCACAGCTCAGTCGTTCAGGCCTTGCCCAGGAGCCTCGCTGGGGGACACGAGGGACAGAGGGAGGCAGAGATGAGAGAGGCACTGGGGAAACTGCAGCTCGGGGGGCCAGTAGGCTGCCTCAAAGGGCTGTACCCCACACACCGACAAGGGAGACCCTGCAAGGCTGAGTCGTCTCTGCACTCCCCAGAAAGTGGACACTGGCTAATGCCTCTGGGAGCAGGAAGTCAGCCTTGGGCCTCTCTAAGCAAAGTGCCCAAGTTCCCTGAGAGCACACGAGACCCTCCAGGAGCCTGACCAGGCCATGGCCATGCTCTAAGCACACCCAGAGGGCACTGTGGAAGGACACAGCCCCAACCTGCGCCCTATCTTGGCCTTCGTATGGGACAGGAGAGGCCCGAGCAGCCGGGGATGCGGTTAGTGAAACAGGGCGTGCATCTGATGTGAGGCCACTGAGAGCCAGGCCCCTGGGTCAGACAGACAGGCCGGGGCTGTCACTGGATAATCTCCTGCACTGTGTATGGTCTCCCAACACCGCCAGGAGTGACCCCTGAGCACAGTGAGGAGTACGCCCAGAGCACCTCCATGTGTGGCCCCCTTATACCAACACCAAAGCAAACCCCCAGACACCATCGTGCTGAGTCATTGAGATGGGGTGAGGGGCCAGGAGCTGCCACAGCAGGGCCTGGCCTGGCCTTGACTGACACCAGGATCCTCTCACAGACTCAGGGGGTCAGGGAGGTCTCAAGAAGGGCCACTGGGTAGGGGCCGGAGAGACAGTACAGAGGGGAGGGGAGGGTGCTCGCCTTGCATGTGGCCGCCCCAGGTTTGATCCGTAGCACCCCATATGGTCCCCCTGAGCCCACCAGGATTGATCCCTGAGTTCAGAGCCAGGAGTAAACCTTGAGCACCACCAGGTGTGGCCCCAAACAAAACCAAACTCAACTAAACGTCCATTTGGCAAAAATGATGACAATCTTGCTCAGGTTAGGACTGGGGCCTCCTCCACCCAGATCCGCCATCTTCCAGTATGTAGGTGTTACACCCACCAAATGCCCCTGGTGCCGTGTAATCCCATCAACGGCCAAGACTCAAAGACTATAAAAACCCTGCTGACATCTTATTATCTAGCTCTTACTCTGGAGAACCTGGCAGGCTACCAAAAGTATCCTGCCCACACGGCAGAGTCTGGCAAACTCCCCATGGCGTATTCAATATGCCAAAAACCAGTAACAATGATGGGTCTCATTCTCCTGACCCTGAAAGAGCCTCTAATGTGGCACTTTTTAAAATCTCAGGGCTAAGACGAAGGAGACGTTACTGGGGCCTGCTCAAGGCAATCGATGAACAACAGGAAGACAGTGATACAGTGATGACAATTCTACCTGTGTACACCCTTCAACTCAGCAATTCTACTTGTATGGCCCCAGAGGGACCCACAATAGCAAACTGTCATCAAAGCAGGTTGAAAGTGACCTTAATGTGTGTTAACAAGCAAGTGTACACCCCAAGACCCCTATGTTAGACAAAGGCAGGTACACTTCAGTGCGATATTCCTAATGGGGGGAAGAAAGAGGCAGTTCTCTAGAGGCCACTCGAGACGTGAGGGACATGCTGCCCTGGGTATGGAGTCAGGCGACACCCAGCGACGCACAGCTCCGGGGAATAAGGAACTGGCAGGATGAGTGAGAGGCCAGAACACGGGCGGCAAGGGGGACCCTCTGCCCACTTACAGCCCCCCTGGATGGTTTGACCGTAACTATGTTTATGCATCAGCCTCCCAAAGGAAAGTGCTTACAGAACGAACTGGAGCTAAAAGAGCGTATGGAATTCTGTTCCGATCCACTGTCCTCTACACATGACCAAAACCTTCTAGAAAGGTCTATGATGAGCTGAGCCCAGCACAAGCGAGAAGGTAATCGACCAGCCCTGACTGCACTCGGGTCCCAGCATCTGGAACCAAAGGACCACAGCTCTGGTGGAGACAAACAAAAGTTTTGCTCCCAGAGTCAAAGTCAACAGGTTGATACCAAAGCACTAAGTTGAGAAGAATTCTGAGGTCAAGCATGTGTCCTGGGGAGATGGTGTGATGTTTCCTGCCAGGGAGCCGGGAGAGGGGCTGGAGCGGGGAAAGGGAGGAGGGGGCTCTCTCTAAATGAGCCTCACCAGGAGCCTGGGGTGGTAGGAATGTTCCAGCACTCTCTATAACCACCGCAATCACGTCTGGGTGTGAGACTGGAATTTTGCAAGATGTTCCTGTGTGGGGACGCTGGGTGGGAGGTTCACAGGTTCATGCTACAATATTCTTTTTTTCTTATTATTGATTTATTTTTTGGTTTGGGCCACAACCTGGTTGTGCTCAGAGCTTACTTCTGGCACTGCACTCAGGGATCACTCCTGGCGGACTCAGAAGGACCACACGGGGATCACTCCAGCCCTCACTATATTTGTTTTTAAAACTGCTGGTGACTCTATGATTACTTCAAAAACGAAAACTAGCTCCCACACCATGACCAGAATACAAAAACAAT